AGTCAGTTTAAACCTAGCACTGTTACATTAAACTAACGTAAGTAACTACACGAAACTAATAAATACATGGTAACGAGGAAAATGGAAGATTTTAGCTTACTGATTTTATTAAGATTTCGAACAATAGTAAACTTTGTTGTACATTTACAAAATATAGAAATAAAATAATAATTAGAAAATATGGACATGAATACTCGCGAATTTAATTTTATTCGTAAAGATCCAAAAAAATGCTTCTATAGGAAAATTAGTGTTTTTGATGTATATTATTAGTTGTTAATATTGATTATTTTTAATTGTCAGTTATTAACAGTTAATATTAACTTTCACTGTTACATTTCATTTTCGCACATGTGTAGTTGATCGTTTATGGAAACACTGTTTACGTATATACACGTACGTAATTGCATATCAAAAACGAAGTTAAACAAATGTTTAATATTCATGAGTTACTCAAGCAACTAGTTACGTACTTTCAAACGGTATAATTAGTAAGATGTGGAGTAAACTGACGTACGGAAACATAATTCAATATGAGAATAAGTATTCCAACGTTTGTATCTCCGCTATTGTATTGTATTCTATTGAGTAAATATTTGAAAAGAATATCGTACAAATCTGCTACGACCTACATTCAACTTTCAATACTGCTTGAAGTACAATTCAGTTGAAGTAGAAAACGAGCACCTGTTGCGTGAAAAGAACATTGTGAGATATCATTCAGTTCCCTGCGCATTCATGCTCTTTTTTTTCAATTTTTTGTTATTTCTTATCACTTATCTGCAGAATTAAATTTTCGCACAAAAGCATATGGTACAGTTGTTCACGAATGTACTGTATTTTCATGAAAATGCTTTTACTTGGACTGAAAGTTTCAAATTTTTTCTGTTAATCGTAACTTCATTCAAGACACTTCATCAAAAACAAGTTCTGTATTTTGTACTCTTTAGCACTTTCTCAGTTTTTCTAATATTCTTTCTGTTTTCTGGGAATGTATTGATAGTAAGATTTATTTATTTTCATTTTGCTTTTTTGTTTATTTAATTCGTCCATTTTTCTTGAAATTTTTTCATTTTTTAACACGACGGGACAATGGAGATAGAAATGTGACTCTAAAGGTGACAACCAAACGCGATGTTACGGAGGGAACAATGTATAACACTTTAAATTGAAAGATACAGTTACAATTACTTTTTTTTGTACGAGCTTAAGTATTCAACTTTCGTTTTAAAATGTACGTTTCAAATTTACGTTTAAGACGGGTTCGTTCATTCATAGCAGAGATTTCCGTGGATTGCACAATTTTTAAGAAGTTCATTTCCACCATTCTCATTTCGTCAAACTTTGCCAAGTGACAGATGATCGTACGCTAACATTCGCGTGGGAAGTTATTTCTCGACAAATTTCACACGACGTATTTACTTAAATTTAATAATTTTATTGTTTACTACTTTCCGGACACCTTCCTCGTTGGCTACATTGCCAATGTTAAATTTTCCACGTTCATTTACGGAAAAGGAGCAGTTATTTGTGAACATTGCCTACATTCACGTTACATATCTGTGGTGGTGAGTGTATATACATATGCAAAAATGCATTCATTCGATGCAACTATGTTGTAGACGGTATTTCTTGCAACAGTGACATTTGTTGCGATATTTGTTTTTACTGCCGATGCGAGTAAAACAATTGCAACTTAACTTGTACTATATGGTACAAAGTATGAAAATTATTTATTTTGTATTCACATACCTACGTTCTTCGTTCTCGAAATAGATAATACATGATTAGTTGCAAATATTTACTTATTGCTTAACAGAACTTTTCTAATAATAAATATTTTAGAAGTAGAGAAATTCGGTGAACTTTTCGGGTCAGCTGTGCATTTGTATGTTTATTATGTATCTTTATAAATAGAAATATTTAGTAATATTGAATTTGACCAACATTCTTCGTATTTTATTTTCAATGTAATATTTGCATTAAGATGCTCGAACTAAACGACAGCAGAAAGTTGTTGAATGAAATGACTAAGACATAATTAAATTGTAATATTATATAATGAACGTTTGTTATAAATTAATGTTTGTCTTTTAACTTATAGTTTATTAAAGGTTAAAAATCTCTTTATTGTTTAAAAAAATATTTAAAAATTGCATACACCATTTATCAAGTTTTACATGGCAACAATGCGGAAACGTTTATTAACTGTACCAGTAGCCTGTTAACTTGACGTGTATTCAAAATTTTTATTTTTTACTCGCTACTTACGACGTTTTGTCCAGATAACGAAACCGACAGACGATATCTAATATAATGAGTTCAGGAAAGTAATTATAATGAGTTACATAGAACACATTTAAAACGACGTAAACCTGCTGAAATGACGTGGATTTACGTCACTAAACAAATTTTACATATCATGTGTTTACCGTCGACGTACGAGTACAGTGTTATGGGAGCATCAATTAGTTGAAATGCGGGTATCGTCGACGGTAAGTCATATGCTCGCACTGCCCGTGTTACACAGATATTTCCATAGCCTGAGCCTACGGGAAAATCCGTTAACTCTAAATATAAAGCGACGGCGACACTTTAGTGCAATGTATCGAGGTCACGCAATTTTCTTTTTACTGCAGAAATCGGCACGTCTCGCACGTGTAATTTCGGTTACTCGGTTCCCTATTATTGGATTTTGGGGAATTCTGTCTCGAGTTCAGTCTTAACCACAATATTCCATTCTCGACTATTCAGTTTACAATCATTTAATTAGACATTCAATTTTACATTACCCGATCATTCTTCTTTTTCGCTATTAAATTTTCAATTCTTCATTTTTAGTTTTCTATTACTAAACAATTTAATTTTACATTAGCCAACTATTGAATTGTTTAGTTGTGTTAATTAACGATTATTCGTTTGTACAAATATTATCCTGAACAAATATTTATTTGGTCATTCGATGTTCTATCATTGACTTATCCAATTTTTAATTATTAAGTGTTCAAACATTCAGTTTTTTTTCAATAACTTTTCTTCAGTTTTGTTTTGATTTTCTCAGAATACCGAGTATTATAAGATACTAGAATGAGTGATAATAATGAAGAATTCCATTCAAATCATAAAAGACGTCCATTAATGTAAACTTAAGAAACATCTTCTGATTAAACTATCTTCCTTCCTTTTGTACACTGAACTACATATAGTTTTGGTTACTTAAGTAGTCTGTTACTTCACTTATTGCGTATAAATAAGTTACATATATTATAACTTACATCAGAAGCCATCACCTGTTACTTTATACGTACATATGTATTTACTTCCTCATTACGTGATAAAACATAGGTATACGCCTTAAGAAATGTGATTTTCATATTTTCGCATTCCAAAGTGAAAAAAATCTTGATTTACTGCAGTCGTTACGAAATAATTAGATCAGGATAAAATCAAACATTGTCAGTGCACGCTTACGTAAAGGTTTTCCAAGAACAATTCTCTTAAAAACTAAGTCTCGAATGAAAAAAGATTCTCCCTATTTATTTTCATACGCGGAATCACTTCCTGCCAGCTTGTACTTATTTTATACTTTCGGTAGCATACTACATACGCACAAATTTAATTTAGAAAAACAATCTTACTACATACGTTACTCCAGTTTGTTGATAAACAGTGACACGCAAACACTCCGCAGAATCTTATAAAAGTAACCGAGATGTATCAGGATTAGTATCCGTCTCCGTAATTAGATAACATTGTCAACGAATAAGAAGAATGCTTTGAAATACCGCGAGCACAAGGAAGTACTCGGAATCAATTAAACTCTCATTGGGATTCACATTGTGATCAATGATTCACCTAACCAGACGACCTTCAATTCCTAATTAACCGTTGGTCACATAAAAAGCTGGAACACAAGCGGCAGGGATTATCAAGGAGCCATCGTCACTGATACGATTAATTTCTTGATACTCTCGTTATTTAACCTCAACATTTAACCTCAATCTTCTTCGAATAGTATCAGTTAGTTTTGTTCTGTAAAAAGTTGATTGAATTGTATAATAAGTCTCGTTAGAAAATTCAAACGATCGAAAAAAACTTCGAAAAAATATAAGTGTAATTTAGTTTGCAGCATGAAGAAAGGAAAAATGGGACCGACACAGGAGTGTCGTTTGTTTAAGTTACTTAAAATTCAATCAATTATTGAAACGTTTAATTCGTGATCATACCACATAAAAATGTGACTTGATTCAGCGATAATTTCTTACGATAGTCTCGCGAGACTTTTATTTTGGACACGTGAAAATTTTGTATCTGGAATGAGTTCCTTCTTTTGAATATTCTCTCCGTCTGCTAGAGCAATGAACCTTTGAACAACTGCGTTCGACGTCTGGAATATCAAATCGACGGTGTGCAACGTTATTGGCATCATACTGATACTTTGGAAACTTTTATTATGCCTACGTTGATCCTTTACAGACTATCATGAATAAAGTATCATCTTTTGTGAATTTTGTTTTAATTTATTGAAAAAAATGTAAAGTCGCAACACCAATGTATTAAGTATACATTTAGGTTATCAGTAACGATTGTTATTTTTAGACTGTGTAACTTGATGTGTTCGTAGAGTGTTATTATCTTTTGTACTTATTTTTTCCTTTACTTTCATTTTCACTTTTTTGTTTTTGTTCACCTTGGATATCCAATTAAAGTCGAAGTAACGAAATAAGTATTATGGAGAAATCAACGACCAAGTTGATTTAACAAACGTTTCAAATAGTTGAATAGAAACTTGTTTATTTTTGTAAATTTCATTATTATACTACTAATATATAATAATACTGGAAAAAGAAGTAATTTTTGATAAAAGAAAAATTTTGTTTGTCTTTTGGAAATTTTTTTCTGTATAGTTAACATATTCTTTTTGCTCTAAAAATCAATAAAATTTCTAATATTTCTATAAATCTGTTTCATTTGTAACACCAAGACTATTATTGTTTTAGGTTCATGTAACATTTAGTATATATGAATGGTTGGAGATTCGCCAGACATCGTTGGAGAAGGATCGGTCTCAGATCTAGGAGATCTAGAAGGATGGTGGGATAATCCTAGCATTGTGATCTGGAGTTTTGCCCTGTTCGGCTGTTTCCTCTTAAATGTCACGCTTCTGTTGGCATTCCTCATACGTCCGTCGTTGCGGACTATTTCCAACAGGTTGGTGTTTATTACAATTTTTCATTGTCAACTGTTCCATTCATATATTAATCATTACATTCTGTGGATAAACGTATGAGCCATTATAAATAAGAATCATCTGTATATTATTTATATATTGACAAATCCCCGTCGTTTGTTCCAGATTCGTCATGAACCTAACCGTGTCGAATCTGTTGGTATGCGCAACAATAAATCCCCTGATGATCATGGACGCCTCTTCGTCGCCTACTACTTTCATGCTGGATGCAACGTTCACAGAAAACGTTTGCGCGATGTCTGAAGGTGCGGTCGCCATGGTCACAACGTCTTCCGTATTTTCAGTCCTCCTGATCGCCGTGGACCAGTACTTCGCAGTAGTGGATCCTCTGCGGTACAGGACCCGCGTGGACAAGCTCAAATCCGGCATCCTGATCGTGTCGACGTGGTTGATCTCAATCGTCTTCGGTTCTCTAGCCTTTTTCAACCCAAATCCTCGAGGGTTCTGGCTCTCCTGTATTCCAAGGAACGTTACATCATCCTCAAACCTAGCAACCGTAAGCGAGTCCACGATCACGTTACTACAGACTGAATCCAAGAGACTAAACGCCACTGGAGTTCCAAGTGTATTAGACTCCCTGGAGTCCATGCGAGTCGGCGACGACATAGATCTCATAGAGAACACCACCGTCATCTTCGATACACTTCTGCCGAGCACAATTACGTATGGTTTCGTCTACGCTCTGGTGTACAGCATCTTTGCCTATTTCCTTCCTTTCGCTGCCGTTTGCTGGATCTATGTTAGCATTTACGTAGCAGCTCACAGAAACTCGGAAAGAGCTAGACGAAGCGGCTCCAGGCCGATTCTGTCTTCAGCGAGCTTCAGCGAGGAACAGTATGGTCCCAGGCTTCAGCGATTACACGCGGACACCATCGAAGACTTCCGCAAGCTACCGAAGATATCCAGCTTGTCGTCTATCGATGAAACCAGTGAAACTATGCAGCCAACGGGACAACTGTCTAGAAGACGATCCTTCTCGCCAAGTCTGGAGATTGAAGTCTCCGCGCCGGTGACCGATGATCAACCTTCTTCGGGGATCGTCTTCACTGTAGGCTCCCTAAAAGTCGAAGTGTCCTCGGAGAATGATAATCGAGAAAATAGGGAAGCCAATAATGATCCTATCGTTGAAGAAAATTTGGATAACATTGATTCTCAGGAGAAGCCTGGCCAGGAGCAAAGGCCTTTAGAGATTGCTGCGGCGCAAGAGAATAATTCAGACACTTGGAATTTGAAGAATTTCCAAGAGGCAAGCGATTCGGAAGACAACACACGAATCGAGTGCTATAACAATTTAGATGTTTTTGAGAAGAACAGATTACGATACGAGCGGAAGATTTCATCGTCCTTCCACAACTACAGGTCCGCTTTAGCGGATGATTCTTCGAGGACAGCAGTGATCATTGATAGAAAAGAAAAAGAAGAGGAAACATGCGATGATCGATTGAAACAGGAGTTGGCAATCGAAACCGATGAAAATCGCGTTGAGCCCGTGAGAGATCCAGAGTCGATAGAAACAAATCCAATTAGTCGATTGAATGGTTCCTGTGCGGATGAGGGTAAATCGTGCGAGGAATTGGTAAGGACATTCGGTAGTATCGATGTCGGTCCTAGAAGGTGCAACAGTTCGAGCACCATCTGCAACAAGACTGAGAGGGACAACGTGGAGCTGTCCACGTGTCTCCTGACGCCGATAGTGACGATCACGCCGGCGCCGAGCAAGAACGACGCTTTGCACCGGGTGTCGAGCGTACGGAGTACGTCGAGCTACATAAGCTCGCTAAAGGACAGGATCAGCAACGGGTCCATTTTTAGACACCGTGAGGAAACCAGGGCGGCTAGAATAAGCGCGTTGGTTATAGTGATGGGTTTGATTTGCTGGTCGCCGTACGTGATACTGCTCGTGATGAACAACCTGCCCCGATCCGTTGACCAATATCTGCCGCGCAAATACGATGCGCTTGCGTCGGGCTTCTTGATCTTGGCTGCGTATGTCAGCCCGTTGCTGTTCGGTTATCGGTCGAGACGAGTCAAGCGGGAGCTTAGGAGGTTCTTCTGCTTCAGGAGGGAGCTATCGTACAAGAACAACAGGAGCCTGATGGCGAAGAAGGTGCTCAAGAGGCGGCACAGTAGCACCCTGAGCCATCTCGAGGTCGATCACAAGTACAACATCTTCAACTGCATGTACGGCCGGAACCGGTGGCCCAAAGAGAAGGTGCAGTTCGTTCAAGTGCCGGACACAGCGCTCGCGGTTGAAACTTGTCGAAGCAGTTTTTCTAGCGGCGCCAGCACTCAGATCTCCAGCACGTCCACAGATGAATGTTAAAACCATGACGTTCCTGATATTCCTATGGTACTGTTTACTGAATTCTTTTATTTAGCGTACTTAACGCGATGCGTTCCTTCTTGAAGGGATTTCTTTAAAAGGTTGTTGATTGTATGATAGATTCTGTGCAGTTTCTCGCGCTGGTTCTTGTGAAGAAGAATTTTTAGGAAGAGTAATTCTTTCTTTTGAATATATTTTTTATTTAAATTAGAAAGAACGTTTTTCTAAAATTCAGTGATTTTTAACATTGCCGCTTACGAATTTGCAGTGCAATATTGAATGATTGCGAAAATATATCAGAACCCGGTGTATTGTCGCCAGAAGTGTGAATGAAGTTTTCATCGTGATGACCTAT